CCTTGTATAATCACCGTCCTTAGTTTCACAAAAGGCCAAAGCCTGCTAAACTATTGCACAGAGGAAAGTCTGGACAAGATGTTGTTTCTAGTATTTTCTAGTGGTTTGAATTGTGAGACATCAAGAAAAGTGTTCAAGTTTTTGACCTCAAGGTTTTTTCTGTGTCAATAAATGGGTAGTGTAGTAATTACTTCATGTGTTGCTACGTGTGGGGATATGTGCTGTATATACCGAGATGAGCCATGTATCATCGTTTTGTTGTTTTCTTATGTTCTCTTGGTTTACTAGTTTTAAACATCATACTTTGAACTTCAACATCAAGTTTACATAGAATAGAATACATAGGATTCACGTGTATCAAAATTTGAAATTATTTGAATAACCATATATATATAATTATATATATATACTGTACATACCCATAGGATCCATGTATGGTATATATGCTCACATTGGGGGTATATTGATGGTAAGTGTTACCATATATAGCATACATGGATACTATGGGATAGTTTGGCCCGCCTTACAGTTTATGTTTCTGGTGGCACGTGTAAGATCCAAGAAATTCGCCGCGGGTCCTAACCAACAAGGGGATTATGTATTCCATTTACATTTTATACCCAGGAATAGTGCTTACAACCATAAATCAGTTACAACCATGAAATGAATTCTATAACTCATTTCTTGCGAGTTAGCATGCTCAAGCTGACTGGCAAGCAAACACCTCTTGCCCAAGCAGTCCCCTGCGTAGGCAACGCTTGCCGAAGAAGAGGTTGGCGACCCCAGGGATCCCAGATCGATTTTTCGGTGATGGTAAGAGGGGGGGGACTTTCTTCCCGTTCTTTTGTAGCCACCAAAAAGATATGTAGGGAAGCATAGGGAAGTAATATACCATAAGTAACCTAGATTTTATCATAGAATTGTCTTGCTATTTTTGTTGATTTTGCTACATTTGGATCCATGTTCGCCGATCTTCGCCGCTGCCGTAATCATCATGGAACGCCATGCATTACGGCATGACGCGGGGTGCACCTCAACCAATTATTTTCCATGAACCTGCCATGATACCTGTTTGGTGGGGTTGCAGACAACGGCCAATGGTTTGTGTTTTTTTGCCAAAGATATGCCCTCCCCAGTGCACTAGTTCGATATATATATATATATATATATATGTATGTATCAACCATGAATCCACAATCCTATAATTCTATTATCTAGATCACATATGAGAATATTATATATTAGCAATCATTAACATACATTGACTATATTTAGGCAACTTTAGTCAGTTACTAATTATTTATACATTAAGCAACTTTGACTCTGACTAATAGATGTAGTTAATTACTCATTAATCCGTTACTATCTATTAGTCAAAACTGGTTAAGCACATAATCATTAGTGAGACTATATGTCATTTAACCAAATTAATCATAGTTACCCATAGGTTCCATGTATGCTATATATGGTAACATGGATCCCATCAATATACCCCAGTCATGTTAGCATTTTTCTACCAGCACCATGGATCCTATGGGTTACTCATCAACTCATTTGGTGCAATGTCACTGCACCACCCGAGGCCTCCACCCGATCGCAGAGCCCACCGGAGACCCGCGCCACGCGGGACTCGCCGCCGGTCCCGGCGCCCGAGCGGCAGCAGTGGCTGCCCGTGGCGCCGGTAGCGGCGGTGCCGGCGCCGCGGATCAAGGCACGGCACGGAAATGAGGAGTTTTGATGATCACATTACCATTTACCCTCTGGTAATTTAACATAGCTATTGAAAATGGCCATTTATAGTGGATTTTCCCATTAAAAATGGTGATTTTCCATTGCTATGTTAGTCTACCAGAGGGTATCTACTAATATCTTCTAATGGTAAATGATAAACCATGTTCACTAATATAATATATATCACTAATGATAGAAAATATATTACATAATAATACATAATAGCGTATGGAGAACTAGATGTAACTGGGTATATTTCATGTGTTATATATATATATATATATATTATAGTGCATTATGGTATATATATTGTATACTGACTAATCAGAATCACGTCCCTTTGAAGTATCACTACCATTTGTTGCTGGTAAAAAGTTCTCAATTTTGTTCATCATTACCCAGGGATATCGCTATTTTCATGCCAAGCGCCGACGCTTTTCTGGCAGCTGTGCCACCTGTCAGATGGCTGCACCAACGCAAGCCGCTACACCGTGGGGACCGCAGATGAAAGGATGTGGAAGTAGTAAGTAGCGTCAGTATCCTCCAGTAATCGAACGGGGCAATGGGAAATCCCCAATAAATAGAGGTTTCTAGCTGGGAAATTCATTCATAAATAAGTGATTTTCCATGCCCATGTTTGATTATGGGAGGGTAATGAATGGTTTGATGATGTTTGATGGATTCTTAGGCAATGACAAATGTGAGAAGTTTCTCATGATTTTTTTGGGCAACAAACAAAAATGACGATGACTGACCTGCCACTGAGTAATTTATATATTTTTAGTGCCAACCAGATGGGGATGTCATACAAACTGCGTAAAACAAACATGGTTGATCATGGTTGCAAAGAGTAGTTGGAATATTGATGATGTGGGGTGGGTCAAAACCTGTTGAACGCCACATTTAGCTAGATAAACATCGATAAATCATGATAAATCCGAGCTATTTTGAACAGAAGGGGTATCCATGATGTTTCACTGACCTCCAAATCTTGTCCCAGCTTGAGAAGGTGTTTGGCAACTGGCATAGCAGTTGATTTGAAAGCCTACATGAGGCTTGCTTCGATACAATTCTGGAAACTGCAGTTGCCAACTGTCGTAAGATGACAGACAATCCTTGGAGTAAGGTACCCAATTTCGAAGAGTGCGTGAGCGCCACAACAAGGTTGCTGGCTCGCTCGCCAGTATCACCACGGATGCTCTCGTAGCGCAGTTGGAGGACTTGGAAGGTAGCAGTGTATCATTCTCGATGAAAGTTGGAACATGCTCCGAAAGCCTCCTTTGCAAGCCGTGCCGTGAGGTATAGGCTTGCGCATTCTGAAACATAGTTCAAACATCCTGGAGTTGTTTTGGATTTAAGACTCATATGGGCTTGTGTGAAAATTGTTCGTATGCCCCCCAAATGGCAACTTGATGGAAAAACATGATAATAATCCACTGAAATTGAGGTATACCTATAATTAATTACCCGATTTTCAGTAACCCTAAATATGTCCAGATTTTGTGGCCCATGAGTAGGATGTTTTTGGTCAATCACTTGAGCTACGCTTCCGCAACTGGCAATGGGATTTCCCCAAATCTAGAGATGTTCCCAGCAACACTTCCATGGCGCGGGACCCTCCCAGCCATGATGAACTCCTCATTCCGCTACTGTGGATGGTTTCGAAATCCTAAAAACCAGTTGGTAGATGGTTTATCCTCTTATAATCTCTTATAATCCCATGATTTACAGTGTTTCATAGTTACCCAGTTGTTACCAACTGGTTTTTAGGATTTCGAAACCATCCGCAGTATGCCATTCTCCGGTGAACCAATCACCTCCGAGGTCAAAGGTTCACTCCAACGGCAACGGCCACACTTTGACGACACCGGCTGTGACCGGGGGCAATGGCTACGTGCCCGTGCAGGAGATATGGGTGTCGTTTGGGGGAGAAAAAACACTGGTGATTACTTGGATGTGCATCCCAGTTAGCCATTGAGCAATCGTATGTATTAACCATATTTTACATATTATATCCATATATGGCTAATATGTGGGTTATATATGTGGGGTATAAAGCACTTGCTATTCTGGGATGCACATCCAAATATTGTGATATCACCCACAGTGGGATATAAAGCCAACCATAATATAGAGATATTTATGAGATGCAACCATGTGCAACCAACTGATTATGATATATGAGAATCACTGTAGTGGATGGGTATACTGGGTTTGTAAAATCAACCATTCTATGTGGATAATATGTTGAGATAGTTATACAGGCTATAATATAGTGGGTTATGATAGAACAAATTGATTTGCAGCTTTGTTCTAACATACTATACATAGGTAGCTGATAGCCACCTACAGGGGGCAATTGGTGAGTTTACATCTTACCGGATTTTGCACCTCCAAACGTATAGGTGGCCAGAGAGCAAGCGTGGTGAAGGGAACAAAGGAACATAGCGAAAGTAAAGGCAGGGGTGGATTTACCACCCCCCAGAAAAAAAAATAGTGATTTAACAGAACATGGGGATTTATTCTTGATTTCTGATGGGCATTGATGGATACGTTTTCTTGGAACTGGCTTGACTCTTGGCTTGGAACTGGTGCATATTAGAGATATATAAACTAACATAACTATGGAAAATCACCATTTTCAATGGGCAAATCCACTATTTCTATGCTCATTTTCTTTAGCTATTTTGACATAACCAAAGGGTAGAGATTAGCCAACTTTCAGGGGAGCCGTTTCACGGTGAATGGATGTGTTCCGCAATGGGGAGACAGGCCTACGCAGCTTGAAGATCAACGGCGTTGTTTTGGGGTGGCCCAAATGCCCGCTCACTTCAATATAACTAGACGTATCAATTTGCTTATCGGTCAAAACCTCAATACCATGTTTTGGCGGATGATAAGCATCCATTGACCAGGGATTTTGATGTTCACCATATACTGTGGCTATGGAATGCTATGGATAATTATAGCATTCCATAGCCACATGCCTTGGCCTCTGGGTCACCGTGGGTCACCAGTCAAAAACTCGACCCTAGCAGGGCTGTCATGTTATGGGGATGGCCACTCAACACCGCCATCGCACCATGGAGACTCCAGATGTTTTCAAGCTGTTTGATGTTCTGGAAACTGTTTTCGGACACTAACTATTTGTTGTTGATCTCAGATCAGTGATCTCCCAGATTCCATGCTTCCAAATCAAGAGTCATTCGTTGCTTGTCGCCTTGTTGTTTTTCGGCTCAACGAAAAATCCGTCGACCCCGAGCCGAACGAAACTGTGAAGAAGCCGACGCCGACGCCGCGGCCGTCCGAAGCGGTCAACCACGCCATGCCCAGGCAGCGGGATATGATTGGATTCTTGGGGTTTAATTAACAGGGTTGAACCAAATTGAACCAAGCATTAGTGAAAATTTGAACATTGGTATTAGATGCGTTTTACAAAAAAAAACATATCTTACCAAAACATACACGAATCATGCGTTTACATGGTGTTTTGATATCGAATTATATATATCGTTGTGATAATAATTATCCCTAGTTTCAAACCATTGGGGTGACTTGCGTTCTCATGGTGGTTTTGTAAGTTTGGGGTTCTAGTTGTTTTGAACGTTTACATTTTCGTGCTGCGTTTACAATGGGCGAAGAATTGCATGCCGGAATGACAGTTGACTGCAACGTTGGTGGAAGTTCGCCGGCATTGTGTAATGGGCGACTAGGTTGGGACAAATTGCGGACATTTGTCGTGGAAAATAACAACAGGAAAAGTAGTCTCTTGGCATTTGGGTAGAGACCTTGAGTAGGTGCGCGGGTCATTTTTTGCTTGAACTGGGGATTGATAATACATGGCAATATATTTACGAACCAAAAGGAGGGTGTCTAAGGCTCATGGTTGGCCATATAGTATGAATATTGGATCTATTTGCTATTGGGACCCATTTTTGTTTGGAATATTCTGGAAAATCTAATAATGGTGGAATGCACAATCTGACCGTTCCTGGTGTTAGCCGTGGTAGCCCATGGTTTCTGGACGCTCTACAGCTCAAAAATGCGTGGTTTTTATATCCCAATTATCCCAACATATTGGTGATTCTATCGATATCAAATCCCGAACATATCCCCATGATCTACCATGATAGAATCCGATGATATTTCCGTTGATTGTTGGTTCAATCCCCAATTGATCACCATGAATGAAATCACGGCTTACGCCAGGCACCAGAATAGCTTTGCCTGCGGCGTGGACGCGCCCGAGGCGGGACTGTTTCGAAGATGTCAGAATGGTGGTTGATAATGGGGAACACCATTGTTTATAGATGTTTTATAAAGACATGTTCATAGATGTTAATAGATGTTAATGGATGTTAGTAGACTAGATGTGTTCAATAGTGGTTAAACATGGTTAATAAATGTGAATAATGGGAAATAGTTTTATAATGGGGATTGTTTGTGAGTAGTGGTGATTAGTGGTGATTAATGATGATTAATGGAGGGGCTGGCATTGGGGAATCCCCTATACATGAAGCTTTTCATAGAGAAGTCATCCATAAATAGGGGAATTTCCCATTTCAATATGTCCTTACCGGAGGGTACAACTAAGATGACTGGTGCTTTAAAGATGGATGTTTGATGATTTTTCTATGACTTTTTTCGTGGATGTATCATGTATCTCTGGTTAGATGGTTTGAAAAGCAACGTACAACTGAGGAGCGCCACCTTGTATATGAGCATAGGGGTATAATGGGGTATACATATTTAATTATGAACATATATATATATATATATATAAAACAGAGTTATGATATGGCTTTTAAGCATTTACGATTCCACACAAAAAACGATCCCGCGCGCCGCCCCAGTTGACCGTGGAGAAGCGCGTGCGTCGCGCGGGACGACCCAATGCGAACGGTGGAAACAAGGTGCAAAAGCATCCTGGGAAGCTCCTTGGAGAAGACTGGTGAATAATGGGATATTTATGGTTAATAGTGGTTAATAATGGTTAATAATGGTTAATAATGGTTAATAATGGTTAATGAGATATCTGGTTGATTTGTTGGAATGATCATATTCCCATCATATCCTAGAATATCCTCAATATGTCCCATATTATGGGATATATATATAATCTGGTTGGTGGTTTGGAACATGACTTTTATGACTTTCCATATATTGGGAATGTCATCATCCCAACTGACGAACTCTTATTTTTCAGCGGGGTTGAAACCACCAACAAGTAATAGCCCATTTATTGGTGAATCATGGCCTGATTTTCTCTAACTATAGTTACCAGTAGTACCGCACAAGGCGGTGGCGGAAGTTTCAGAATAGGAGAGCTTGGTTGGTGTGAATCACGGATGGCAGAGCGAATCCACTGATGGACTGAAAGGTGGTTGGAGTTATGTTTGTTGGAATGGATGCAATGGTTGCAGTGGACCTAACCCACAACTGCTGGATGTAGTGTGGTGTAGTGCAGCTGTATTGTAGTGTAGTGATGTGTAGTGCAGGTGTAGTTGTGGTGTAGTGTAATTAGTGTAGTGTAGTTGCAGTTGCATTTGTGGTGGTGTAATGAGTGTAGTGTAATGTAATGTAGGGTAGCGTAGTGTAGTCTAGTCTAGTGTAGTGTAAAGTAGCGTAGTTGTAGTTGTAGTTGGTGTAGTGTATTGTAGTGTGGTGTAGTTGTAGTGTTATGTAATTAGTGTGGTGTGGTGTAGCGTAGTGTTGTGTAGTGTAGTGTAGTGTAATTGGTGTAGGGTAGTGTAATGTAGTGGTAGTTGTAGTTGTAGTTGTAGTGGAGTGTAGTGTAGCGTAGCGTAGCGTAGCGTGGTGTAGTGTAGTGTAGTTTAGTGGTTGTATATAGTTGAAACTGCTGCAAAACCCTCACGTTTTGCTCACTTTTGACAAAGTGCACAATCCCTTGCGCTTGCCACGCAAAACGACATTTGAACGTCCAAAAGTGCTCCGTTCCCCTCAGTTTTTTGCACTTTTCACTTGCAAATTGCTTCGCGCCACAACGGCGTGCAACTTTTCATCTCTCATCTGGCCAGATGGCTCCGCACCCGCCGCTTTGGCGAGCCTACTTTTCGACCCTCCCGAGCCACAAATCACTGGAAAAAACACAGTGTTTTGCGGTTTTGCTACCTTTTCGCGCGCCTGCATCTTCTTTCTTCTGACTCTTTCTCTTCTCTGATCTTCATTTTTCTTCTCTTCTCTTCTCTTCTCTGACTCTTCCCATCTCTGCTTTACATCTGTCCATATTGTCGGAAGTTTGACTTCTAAACTTCCTTCGAATATATAGACAACCATGTTCAATAATGGTTAATGAGGTTCATAGGTGGCCGAGTTCTCCTGTCAACAATCGTTTTTTTGGTGTGACTTTTCTGTACGCCACCCGTGGCCATGGCTGCCCCGGAGATGTACGTGATGGAAGGAAACATGTTGGAGGCGTTTCATAAAGTGTATCGGGTCAGCTTGGATGTTGCAGCCGCCCAGGCGGCGGACCGGTGCTGCGCATGCGGCAGGACTGCAGGACATTCGTACTCTGAAGGTGGCGCCACCGATTATCGACGCATGGGTGTGTGCGAATACTGTTTTGATGTCTTGCACGATCCTGCTGCGACGACCTTGGACAAAACCACAGAGTGCAACAACCTGACCGCAGACGGTTGCGCCATTGCCAAAGATTGGATTGCCTTCAGCAGGTCGCGCCGTAGGTTGTTGTTCCAAGCCGCGGATTTCCGCCGTGCTGTGGAGCTGACGCTGAGATTATTTAGCCACTAAACATGGTGATTTCCATAGCTATTACATATATGTATACATATATATATATGAGGGTTTCTTGACATCGGGGTACACCAAAACGGACGGTTGATGATGGAAGCTGCTATGAAAATGGATGATTTGGGGATTGGGGGTACCACTATTTTAGGAAACGCCCATATCTTGGGTTTGTTGAGTGGGGATTTCTACTTCCCCAGTGAGAAATACACCAGACCTGGGGAATTAGGGGATGATTAGTTTTTAGTTTTTCGCGGGCTTTAAGCAAATCCAAGTCTGATGTTGGAATACTTTGTGGGTAAACCAATAATGTCAAAATTAAGGTACCAAATGGGCCCACAAAACTGTTTATGTTTAGTACTGACTATCAATTTTTGCGGTTGATCATTTTGATTTGATGTGCGCTTCTGACACATCCGGTTGTTTTCTTGTTTTAACTGTCCCAGCAAGTACATCAATATAGAATGTTAAAACTACTTAAAATCATCATCCAAGTTTTACTAACCCCGATGGCATGGGGAGATTGCTCATGTCATGCTAAGTTCATCTATCTAGCATATTCTCCAATTGATCACCAAAACCATCAGCTATTATCAGATAGCCTATACCCAACCAACGTGTGGCGGTGGGTTGGAGGCATGATAGCATTGAAATGCCTTTGTGCAAGACGCAACCCCCAAAACCGTTCCTATTGGAACGGGTCGTCCGTTGCTTCCGTGTCGATTTGGGGGTTTCTTAAAATGGGAAGTGCAAACCCGAATCATTGGGTGAATTTTCTGATTTGAAAGTGGAGACTCACCGCAGCGCTTGGCGAATGTTTGGCATGGCATGTGTTGGTCCATTCATGTTAAAGAAATAAATCATGCCCAATTTTAACCGTAAATGGTTGGTACAACTATAATTAACAAAATAATTGGTGGTTTGTTATTGATTTCCTCAGATCAATTATGGTGATCTGTTTCCTCACCCCCATGGACCGCCGTTGCAGTCTTTGACCGAGCCCTTCATCTAGATTGCTGATTTCAGTCTGATCTGCCCATGCATTGTTTGTTGATTCCCAAAGTTTTCTTGTTTTTAGCTGTTCAGATAGCCTTCAGTTTCAACCATCATGAGAGGGTTTTTTTCGTAGTTGGTTCATATTCCCAAGCATCCAAGGGGATTTCTCTACTGCCTGGGCCTCCCCAAGGGTCTCCATCAATCCCAGCGTCCGCATGCACGATCCGGGGGCATTCAGTGAAACTTCGGCGGCACTATGGGGTGGATTGTCTTGGGAATTTCCAGCCTTAAGTTGTGTTGTTTGACAGGAAACTGAGATGTTGATGTATCAAAATCTATGGGGTACATAATTTTGGGGGTATGAACATCCATTCGCCAGCTAATTGAGTGTTCACCAGGGGATTCAGATTTCATGTTTTCTGACCCATGGCCAGATTTCAATGTGATTAGATCAATCCTGCGGAAATGATAGCGCCCCCTGCGATGTCACTAGAATTGATGGTGAATGGGGAACTAGCCTGGTTTTGGTGGTTTCAACCGTGTTTTATTTTCAATGACAAACGTACAGTTGACATGGGATGATTAATAGTTGACCTTTTCCAACTAGGATTGTCATTTTGAAACCATGTGTTTATCCTATGTGGGATGATCCTCGAAACAGAAAGGCAAACCTTGGTGCAGTTGGACGCATGACCTTGCGTCCAATAGTGGAGCATGACCTTGCGCCGACGCTGCTGGTATACACTGACAGCGACTTTGCATCCTGCCCATACACATCAAAGAGATTTTCAAAGAGCACTTTGGTGCTGTATATGTCCTTCAAACTGGTTCATCATATTTCCCACTACTATGGTCATCAAAGAAACAAAATTCGACCGCAAGGAGTACAACAGAAGCTGAGCTCATTGCATGCGCAAGCGCATTATTCGGCGAAGCATTCAATCTCCATACAATGATTGAATCTTTGAACAGGTTCGTGTACCTGTTTCCTTCCAACAGGATAATCAGGCTGCCATCACAGTTATCCAGTCCGGATACAGTGCAAAGCTCCGTCACGCTGGACGAGTCCATAGAGTCAATGTTACATCCATCCACGAACAACTGGATCAAGGTGTTTTTGACTTGGATTACTGTGAAACAACCGCTCAGTCAGAACACAGCATGATGTGGGCATATACTTTGAGCCCTTTGTCCCTGTCCGAAGAGACTGTGTCGCTGGTTTTCGTTCACGACGTCCTGATCCTTGGTGTCCCTTGATGATGGGAGAGATAATCATCATTGCGTTAGTGAGATTATTCCAGTTTAAGCGCTGATGATTTGATATGATATTATGATATTCTCATTTTTTGTTGCTTCACCCCGCCATGTGTAGCAACTTGATTTGTTTTTCGTGGACGTTTTACCCATGGAGTTTTCCAGCAGTTTGGATAGGTTAGTTGTTGAACAACAACTATGTTTTTTGCACATTCTTGTTCCCCTATCATCATGAAATTTACCACTTAAGCTTATCAACCCTCAAGTAGGATTACATAGTATATTATCATTTATTGTCATTGATTATCATATGTATACATTTAAAATTTTATACATATATACATTATATATACATTATATATACATTGTATATACATTCTATACATATATATATATATACGGTAACGACATTTAAATATGTGGAGGGCGGGCCAGACCGCGAGGCCCCGGAGGTAGTATGAAATACCAGTTCGTATATTTAAAATTTAAATGTAGTCACCGTATGTTTAAATTGGCCGGGCGGGCCAAGGAAAACCTTCCCGGAGGCAATCTAAAATACCTGTTCGTATATTCAAAAATCCGTATATTTAAATGTAGTTACCATATATATATATTATTTGATATTATACTATATATATATATATTATTCTATGTTATTTTAAATATATATATATATATTATTCTTTTATATATATATTGTATATTTTTTCAATATACCTGATTAAACAAGTATATAGTATTCCTCAGAGCCATTAATCATTGTATTTTGAAGACCTCTCAACATCCGTGCGACAATAGAATAATATATATATATATGTCTATATAATATTTTTATATATACACATATTGATCCTAAGAAAAATCAGTATTAAGCTTGCCCTGACCTTCGGACCATAAGAAGAACCACATCATTGCACTGCCTATCCCTACCTTCCAAGAAAACAGAGGTTGTGGGGGAAGGTCAGGGAGGAAGATCAAGGCTAAACCAATATTAGACCCTAATAAATATATGATCAATAGCATTTTTTTGGTTATTGATGTATTAATGTAATGGTCATATTGATATATTAATATCAACCCCAATATGATCATTCCCCATCTCACCAATATTAAGCCTGCAAAAGACCCCATGAGTCCACATTGTTCCAGCAATCAGCAAATATTGACATGTTCATGTATTATAGCCATCCTGAAGTAGATAGATTTTTGATGGTTCACAGATATTCCAATGTTCGCAAAGATTGTTTCAAATTTCCAGATTCTATCTACCAGGATGATGATATATATATATATATATATTGATTTATTTATTTACATTATGCTGAGGTGCAAAACCACTCTTTCCATTTGATTGTTGGTTATACATAAATTCCTCGGATTAGTTTTATTAGGATTTTCTACATGGAAACATACTGGTTTTTATCTTTTATTATAGGGCTTTCCTGTGAAATTAACCAACAAAAACCATACATATGGTTATGTGGGCGTCGCATTGACATCCATCAACCCACTATACAATATTCAAGGATATTCAGCTATTATCCCAGATTCCAGATATTGAATACGGTTACTACTTGAATAGTTGGTTCTTACCTATTACCATGACTATTCCCATATATTTATTCAATGAGTCATAATTCCATGAGTATCCCTATGATTGTTATGGAGATTGATATGTATATATATATATATATTTATATCTCTCTCTCCCTATTGACAGGGACATTCATTATACCAAAATCTCAACATATTGACATAGTCACATCCCATATTAGTTATACATTATTCAAGTAGTGCACGGTTCATCATTAGCAAAGATATCCCGTATATAGATGTTCCCAGAATCAATGTAAGATTGTTTAATATCATAGAAAATTATTCAATATTATGAATGTGAATCATCAGCAATATATATGAACGTATCATTCATATTCCCAAAGGAAACAGGGATAAAAGGGGGCATTATGATCTTCCCATACATTGCTTTATAATTCACAATATAATAAGTATACATGTCTTAGCCATTAATATCCATTCACATTTCCAAATATATAAGATATGGATTGGTTGAAGGGGAAATCTTAACCGGAAACCATCGATTTTCCCATGAAGATCATGGGGCTTTCCAGTTTCAATTTTCCCTTAAACCAATCCATTGAATAATGCTCCATGCACGCAATAGTTGCCAACATTTGCCTCAAACATCACCCAAATGTAGGTAAATATACCAGGTAAATATACCATCATTATCCCATTAATTTTACCACAATTCCCCATTATTAGATATTATTAGTATATCTAATTGATCATATTCCCACTTAATAATTCACCACCATGACTTCTCCATTGCTTAAATATACCAGGTAATATCCATTCACATTCCCAAACAAAAAAAATGTACCACTCAGGAAGACCACACTGATATAGGGATTACTATATATAAGATATCCAAATACGGTATATTATCATAGGGATATATTATCATACCACACTGTACTAATCATATACTGAGTGGAACACTGATATAGGGATATCCAGGTATCACATTCACCACTATGATCTGTTCCAGGAAGACGAGCGCTGGTCCGACGCCGGCTGCGCCTCGGAGGAGACCACCGCCAGCGAGACGCCCGGAGGTAAGCGCGACGACACTTCGGCGCCGGGCAACGCGCAGGCGCGGACCATGGCGAGTTCTATGGGATTCATATGGGAATAACATGCTGTATGTCTATATTTATATTATATATATATATTAAAGATTATAGGTGAATAAGGATTCATACTATAATGACTTGTGTATATGATTGTATATGTATATGTATACAAATCATCGATATCCATATGAAATTTAGGTGAAGTTCATTCCCCTATAGTAAAGTAAGATACGTTTATCTACATTCCGCTTGTTCTTATCATATGGGTAAACCGTTCTTGGATATGTTCAAACCATCTTGATGGAGTAACATGTTTTTCCAGCAGTAAAATATGGTAACACACTGATGTTCTACTGGAATCAACTCTGGGGTAAACATACAAAAAACATATGGGAAAACCATGGGGAAACACGTTCAGAGACAAAACACAACTACAAATGGTTGGTTTTCCACACCTATGTTATTCTACGTTTGTTTACAGGAGGAAGCACTTTTTAATTAGTGACGTTGGTTGTTAAACGATGTTAAATCATCACAAATCATCATAAATTATCTAGGAATGGCAGTGTTCCATAGCCATTTTAAGTAACCAGAGGGTATTTGTTGTTAAATCCCACCCCTTTTTATGATTGTTTCAAAGTGCCACTAGTTGAGGGGATCTAAGCTTGGCCATGGGATCATCCCAAGGCTGAAATGGACCATTGGGACGTGGTATCCCAAGGCAAGGCCAAGGATGCTCGCCTGAATTTCTGCTTCCGGGTCAAGAACAGGGGGCTTGGGAATCTATTGGAATGTGGTTAAGATAACAATAAACAATCCCCCAGATCACCATTTTTATAGGTGGTATGGTCACTATTCCCCAGATGGGTGGTTTATTATTGTATATCTAAAAACATCTGAAAAACAGATGATTTTCCACTGCCAGGTAATTAGATTGCAGGAGTGTAGCTGGATGATCCTCCACAGAAAGAGGCACTTCAGAACGCTGAGGGGCCATGCTCCCTTACCCGGCCTGGTAATGACTAACATAGCTATTGAACATAGCCTTAGAAATAGTTGATTTACCCGTTCAAAATGGTGATTTTCCATAGTTATGTAGACGTTTACCAGACGGTAGCTCCATTTCTTTGGCTTAGAAAATCCATTTGACTTCTATCGCTGGGGGTAGTTGAAGCTGCATTTGCCTGGTACAAATGGTTAAACATGTTATGAAGCGGTTATGATATTAGACCAGCAAAACATTGTGATGACAGTCGGAGCATAGGACGCAGTCACCAGATAATATACATATATATATATATACACACGATTATATCATTTTTTAAATATATAACATACATATGTATATATATATATATGTATATATATATATATGATGCATGTTGATGCCCTTAAGTGTTTTTTAATGATTGGATGGACTATCCCGGGGTTGCCTAGACCTCCTACCCCCTAGAAGAAAGTTGTTTCCTTGCGAAATTTGTTGTGTCTCAATGAGTATTGTGGTCAATCCACTAGAAATGGGGAACCTATTGATAGTACCCTCTGGATCCTCTGGTAAACATACAAAAAACGATGGAACACCACAATTTTATAGCTGGGTAAATCAACTATAAATGGCAATTTTTCACTAGCTATGTTTGTTTACCAGAGGGTATGTTTCATTTGAGTGACCCTAGCATCAGAAAAAACATGATTCCTGGAGGTTACACTCGGGTAATGTAACAGTTTGCTATGGGAAAAAATACCGTTTCTAATTGGTATATATAAATCGTCTATATCAACGTTCCGCCTCTTGTTTTGGACGCCGCATTGGCACCAGGAAGATGAATGGCCTTCGTTGAAGAAAAGCTGCGACTTGGCACTGCTTTATACATTTTAAAGGGGGGTCCTGTAGGGATTACTCATGGTTTGCCGGTGTATTAACCCCGCTTGATTTTATACATATTGGATCGCATGTGCAGGGGTTGTTATTCTTCATCATTTTTGATCACACTGTTTTTCCCTCTAAAACATCCTATTCTCAGGGTCTGTGCTAGTCTGGGGAATTTGTATCTTATATCACTGTTCAAGGCCCCGCTGATGGTGATATGTTATGTCGGGATGTCAGGTAATTATGTTCCCATAAAAACAACGTGTGTATATATATATATATGTATATTGATTGGTTTATCACTATGCATGATTGGAACTTGTAGCAACAGTCCAGTATAAACGTTTTGCCTCTTAGGGTTGTTTTTATGTCCCATTAATTATGGCGCATTGTATCACCAGCAATATTGGTCAAGTCAAATCGTATTAATTCCACATATGTGTGATGTTCAAACCACCACCACAGTTGTTTAGTGTATATGGATCACATATATATATATATATATACACACTAGATCCATCATGTTTATTACTATTTTTTTTGAATATACATATATATATATATATTAGATCATGTTAAATCATGTTAATTTCATGTTGCCAGTTTCACACCCCAAAACCGCAGGACAGCCGTCGCTGACACGAGGTGACCCCGAGCTGCGAGACTACGAGCTCTTCGAGACCATGTCGCAGGTGGCGGGCGATTTGAGTCCTGGTTTGCTGTGTCAAGTAATCATATAATACATTTATATAAATATATATACACATTATATATATATATAGATATTATATATATGATATATGATATATGTTATATGATAGATGAGATATGATATATGATATATGATATGATATGGTGTGAAATATGATTGTTCTTGGAGGCCTTTGAAGCAAATCAGAGTGTATGGTCATCAGAGGACGCAGTATTCTCCGGCTCCTTCAAATCCTCCAAACAAAAAACATGAACATCAGTGGCCGAAAACGTAATCTATCGGAAACCAAAAAACAACGCAGTTTGTGGCGAAGCCCAGATATTTGGAAACCATGAGATGTTGATCCAGAAACCATTGCTATGGGGGCACTCATGATCCATCCCCACACGGAAGCATATTAGCTGCAGGAAAAGCCCCATGTTTGGCTCAATTCCCATTTTGACTCCTTAAATCATGTTAAATCCATGGTAAATCCCAGACTTGAGAATGGTTACCATGTTAAATCCCCTGGTCTTTTCCCATGTTTGCTGGTCTTTTCTCACTTTTTGGATGTTTCAAATCCCCCTTCTCAACCAGCGGTCAGCCTCCCACCCAGGTCAGCGATATGACGCTAGGATCCTGGGTGGACGTGGAGGTGCGAAGCGCTGCGAAGCCAGGGTCCAAATGGATGGTTTGTGATGGAACATCGCCGGTCCAATATGGATGAGAACTGGAGGTACCCCTATTTTAGGAAACCTCCATATAAATCCATAATATATATATATATATATGTATATATATATACATACATACGATATATATATATATACTGTATATACTGTATATACTGTATATACTGTATATATATAATATGGCTAATAAGGGTTAATGATGGTCAATGAACATCCCTTTACTCAGAGACTCCGATGATTTGATGGTTTTTGAATATCTCTGAAGAGGTTATTTTCATTGTTGATTTTCACTGGCCATGAAATCGTTTAGGTTTCAAAGGGTTTAAAAAAACCTCGGAGGTGAAGAAGAAGTTATCAGCGAATCCCAGGATATCAACATTGATGTTGGTTAAATTCCCATGTTTGGTGGAAAATTCCAGTGATATCCTCTAGAGTATTCTGCTAATTTATGAGACGATAACTAGACGATAACTTGTATCCAGTGAAGTTTAAAGCGCTTGTAGATTACCCACAGAGCCCAAATCATAATCACTATGGATCCTAGTACCTTCTGAGAATGTACCCCCCAAAATCCTTGCCCATTCATACTTTCTCACAAGACGGCTGAATCCAAACCATAGTAGCCATTATTTGAATATAATTGGAATGGACCAAACTCTATTCCAATTGTATTCCGGGTACTGCCAATTTCTGGTTAAGTAAAGTAACTAAACTAAATTCAGCATCAACTCATAATTTAAGATATTCCACTTATCCCATGTGTATCCATTTATGCTTAATGTGGGAAACCCAATGCCATAAACCTACCATATCTTGGGCATGGTTTATGAATTGGATCTGTCCCCGCCATTATCAACCATTATTCACCACTGTGGGGATATAGTGGGACATACCCAGCTAATTTGCAGGGTTGCTCCACGTAATTATTCAATAATTATTCCATCTAATCACCTTTATGATTTGATTATCAATAATTATCCAGAATTGTTGGTTAAATTACATTAAATTTCTGCGTTGGTTTCTCCATTTAGTCCATCAGTAGATTATCCATCTAATCCCATAATTCAATGGATTGGTTTAAGGGAAAATCTACAGGAAACCATAGATTTTCCCATTAAATATGAGACCTTCCTGTAAAATTTCCCTTAAACCAATCCATTGAATAATTGTCCCGTTTATTGTTCCCATATGCTCCATGTATGGAATAGTTGCCAACATTTGCCTCAAACATCACCCAGTTTTGTAGGTAAATATACCAGGTAAATATACCATCATTATCCCATTGTGATTTTACCACAATTCCCCATTATTAGATATTCTTTTGTATATCTATTTGACCATATTCCCACTTATTAATCTGGGTAAATTATAGCGACCTCACTGCGACCTCACTGGAATCATGGTTAGTAAGGGAAATCATCCCGAAATATTACAATTTACCCAGATTAATAATTCACCACCCAGGACTTCTCCATTGCTTAATCTACAGGGTAACCGGTTGCCTCTTCGTTCGAGGACTGTGACTCCCCCGGCCGCGCGTTGACCGCGTTGACTTTGGCCGAGCAACGCGCCGCAGCATCCACCTGGGCGTCGCGGATTGGTGCACCAACCCGGGGGAAGAACCATGGGGAAAGCGTGGGGAAATTGTGGTTTTTTAATCGCCAAAACATGGTTTTTGACAATGGAATATCAATGGAATATCGGAATAGTGACAATTATAATAGCAGATCTATATGGGATATAGATGGATATGGTATAAACATGTTGAATTCAGACAACCATTTATATATAATGAAGGACACATAAAAAAGGGGGATGATATCCCATGTTTATCCCAATTAATGATAGCTATTAACCAATTAATTTGGTTAAAACAATGCCATAAACTACCTATTTGGGAATGGTAACCATACCACCTGTAAATATGGTGATGACTGGGGGATGGTTTATTATTGTTTTAACCACATTATAAAAATGTTGATTCAGACAAAAGCAAAGTTTTTAAGCGGCGACAATGGTGATTTGCCCTAGAAAATTGGAATTTACCGACATGGGAGGATATGGTAGGGATGCAGCGAAAGAACACTGGGGATGAAAGCAGCAAACACTGATATTATAGGATTTACCCTCCAAAACCAGCAAATATTTGGGATAGGAGTGGAGATCTGGTGATTATCAGGGGATTTGAGCAGCAAACATGGTGGTTTTTCTGGTGATATCATGGGGACCTTTTTCTGGGGGCATTTCCACCAGGGACGATGGTGAACGTTGGAGGATTTTCCCAATTTGGGATCGTCCCAATATACCCTCTGCGAATTTCTTACATAGCTATTGAAGGCACATTTAGTTCGTTGATTTACCTATATTTTTTGGATGGTGATTTTCCAGTTCGGAGACAGTCGAAACAGCTGTTTGGGTGTCAGGTAAACGAAATCTGTCATGCCACATAACTATGGAAAATCACCATTTTTAATGGGAAAACTCACTATAAATGGCCATTTTCAATAGCTATTTTGACATAACCAAAGGGTAACAGATTTGAAACACGCAATTCGGAATCGTCTGTGGAAATCAGCGAGCTGCAGATATCGAAGACCTGAATTTCTTCACAAAGGAACTCTGAGGAACTCGGAAGGATACCCGGCCTGGTAAACATACATATATAGCTATTGAAAATGGCCGTAGAAATAGTGGATTTACCCATTAAAAATGGTGGATTTTTCCATGGTTATGTAACAGTTTACCAGGGGGTATCCAGCTGTCCAGTGAAAGAGAGAGGTCCTGTGGTCCATGGCTTGGGGAATGTCCATGGATATGAGTTCAAGGTCTCCGATTCGTAAACAGTTCGTTTATCAGTATATTCATCACACTATCCCGGTATCCCATCATTATCCCATTATCCCTATTGAAACATCACTATCCCATCATTACCCCATTACTATGGGTTACTATATAATATGGATAGACATTATAGACATTCATTTCATGGGATAATGATTCATATGATGGGATTACTATATAATATGGATAGACATTTATAAACATTAATTTCATGGGATAATGATGCATATCATCCCTATTATTTGTTATCCCATTAGTAAACTGTTATCATCCCTAGTATCATTGATTAAACATCCCATTTGACCATTATTATGCCATATGATCACATCACTATCATTATCTGGTTGGTGATTTGGAACATGTTTTATTTTTCCATTCAGTTGGGAATGTCATAATCCCAACTGGACGAACTCCATCATTTTTCAGAGTGGTATACCTACCCGACCGGATATAAATAGCATCCCTACTATCCGAGGGTATCCCCCATGGTTTTCCAATGGTCCAGATGCTTGCCGTTGCGGCTCCAGGTCCCAGCAACGGGCTGCCGAAGCCCAAGACGGCGCTACCCTGGGCGGGCAAGCTGCGGCCCACACCGGAGGAGAAGCCGTGCCGGGGAGACCAAAGATTTTGGAGAGCAAACAGCATGGTGGAGTTGTTTAAAATGGTTACCCTCTGGTAAATAAACATAGACCCTGAAAATAACTAATTTTTAATGGAAACTAATCTTCCAAGTCCTATTTGCCAGGGTCTATGTTAATTTACCAGAGGGTAATATTGGCTAATGATTATTAATCACTGGTATATAATCAATGGCCATGCAACAGAAACCGAGAACGATTGGAGGTGAATATCCCCAGATATCCCCAGATATCCCCAGAAAATGTTGCCTTATATGGTACAGTACCTCCATTTTAGGATCCTCTGAAGTTCCCATTGAAAACATGGTGGAGTGAACAAGGGAAAATTGTGGTTTTATATGGTTTGATAAGGATTTGACCAAGGAAATTATGGTGATTCAATGATGACACATGGCGATTTAATGACTTATCGCTGGAATTACATTATTGAAATCCAATCGGTTTATCCTTGCGGC